ATACGCAGCCACACATACATGGAGGCCGAGCGGGACGCAGCGAAGCGCGGTTCGTGTTGGAGGCGTCACATCGGCGTCTTAAAGGGGACGCGCTGTCAATTAAACGCTACTGTGTAAAATGCAGCTTATGTGGCAACATGTTACTGTTATAAAATGTTAGATTTTATTTTAAATCAGTTGTTAAACAGGTATATACACAACAATAACAGCGCATCCGTGAGTATCTTTCTTTTTCTTTTAAACAATTCCATTCACAGTATAGTATATAAAGTAGATTACAATATAAACAGAATGAACAGTATGGACAGAGCGCTATGAACACACTAATATATAAACAGAGGCAGACTAATAGATAAGTAGTGAATTGTGCACTATAAATAGCATGAATTGCATAAACTGTATGAACAGTGTTAATGTTATGAGATATATGTAGTAAATATACTACTATACTATACTACTATAAAAGGATCATTTCTTTGTGACTGTTTGATCCTGATAGAAGCAGCTGTAGACATTTAAACTGGGTGATACTCCAGTTTGTTGGAAACCAAAAAACTGTTTAAAAATGTTGGGAAACAACCAACAAGAAACTAACTTCATTTAGTAAACATACAGGATTTCAGACATGCGCAGTAGGTGAAAGGTGTGCCCGTGACGTATGACGTAGGCGAGCGTCGATACGTGTCGTCCCGTAGTCCACATCAGTCCGTCCGGAGTTTGAATTGTTGGAAACTCTACGAAGAAAAAGGTGTAGTTTTAGTAATAAAAGTTACAAATGTCCATGTTATGAAGCGCTAAACAGTCTGTACTTTCATCTTTCTTAAGGTGACTGGTCGTGCGTTTCATCACAAACACGCTTTTGTCCGAAAGTAATGCAACAAGGAGTCAGATTTCTGGTACTTTCGGACACTTGTATGGAGTTAGCATTAACAAGGCAAGTGTGTGGTCTGTGTTTCATTAGAATAACATTTTATTTTCTTTATTTTTTATAAGTCAGCTAAGAAGTCAGTTTAGCTCGTTCGCAAGACGGTCGGCAAACGAACAACATTGCTAAAGTCACACAGTTCCCCCTCTTTGCTAGGCTAGTGCTAACAACAACATAGAGGTGGACCGTAGGAGACACGCCCCCTCAGTATTTAAAACACATGCAAATTCATTCAAATTGATTATTTCATTATTGACGTCAATACATTAGTCATGAAGTTCTTTAGTGTCCTACAAGAATGAAGACCAGTTTTAAAAATCTGTTTGTCTTATGTAAGACCAAATCCAATAAGACTGTATTTTTCTAAGATTAGTTTCAAAATCATTGGACTGGTTCATATAGGATTTCATAAAACTTTTTAACAATTAAATGCGATGGACCATCATGTAATTAACCTGATAAAAGTGCATGTAATCTTGTAAAATTTTCTTATTCAGTGAATTGCAATAACAGGCCAAAGGTAGTGACTTTATTTATGCGACCTAAAATATCCCTAAAATGCATTAAAATTAAACAAGTCTGTTGTTTTATGTCAATTTATAAAAATCAATGCAGTAATTGTTACAAAAAAATAAATAAATCCACAAATAACACATTTGGGCGACACTTTGAACAGGATTTTTTTTACAAACCAGTTTTGTTCCTTTCAGCATTAGCTTATAGTTGAAATGTCTTTATTAATGTGAAGGAACCAGGTGACAACTCGAATATAATACGACAATGATGGAAGGCTGTCAGGCATTCTGTATTGCTTTTAAATATTTACCATCTCCAGATTTACTTTTACCTAATGCTAAAGTAGCATTAAATAGTTGATTCAACTAGACACTCCCGGCAATATTAATATTTATTTGTTTTATTTAAAATGTGTTTGTATTACCACACTGTTATTTTCTTGCAGAATGACACCTTGCAGAGGAGCACTGAGTGGACATGAGGGAGGCTGATGATCATCCAGGAGATCAGGGCATCTATTCGCCATGCACAAGGTACAAAGTATTGTTTTCGTGAGAATTTAGCAAAAATGAAAATACATCTGTTAGGTTGATTAAATTTCACAGCTACTGTGTTTAGCAGATTGCCTCTCAGCACTCTTGCTCTCTGAAGTAGCACTTTTCTGCGAACAGCTGGTGGACAGTTTGAGTTCCTAATAATTATTGCTCAGCCTGGTATGTGTGTAACGGCAACATAGGCTCATTTATGGACAGTAGAACAAATCACCCTTCAAAGCTAGTAGGAGCTTTATTCACATACGCTTAATAAATTTTAGAAGTTTTGGTTTATACCAGCAAATTTTGACTTGTAGAGGGAGTCGAGAACCAGCCCAGTACGCCATAACTTTTAGATATCCTTCATTTCTTATGTTGTGTGTGATTCTAATCCAATACTTTTTGTGAATATCTCCTCCAAAACCTAATGTGTTTGTACACAGCTCTGGCTCTGTAAATGAAAAACAAAGTGGCTTTTACTTGACAGCAAAAGTGAGGTATTGGAACAGTATTTATACCATGTCAAAGTAATGTTTGGGTTTTTAGGTGGCAGGTTTGCAGTCTCCCTGATGCAGATGGATGGAGAGAGAAGCTCCACAGACAGTTGCTGACCTTGAAAAGCTTAAAACGGTGAGTTCCAGTGTGTTTGAGTGACCAGGTTCTTTTAATAGTGACTCAGGAGTTTCTGTGAAGAACTTAATCGTAACTTCACAACAAAATCAAATCTATCCAGTCAGCAGACGTTAAAAGTGGCAGTGTAGCGGCCTGGACTGATGGTCTAACACTTTTTATTTTCTCCTCCCTTTCTCCTATGACCACCATAAGAGCTTGTTGCCCTCTCGACTGCCACTAAATTCATTAATCTCTCCCGTTCGCCTTTTTATCTTTTGTTGTGTCGTTGCTTTACGTTGCCGTTACGTTACGTTGCCGTTACGTTATGTTGCTGCTACGTTACCATTTGCGTCTCCCGTTACATTTTTTCAGTTTCCGTATTTTCCGCCTGGTGTCCCTTCACATTGAAAGCACTTCCGTTTTACGTTAAGTAACGAAATTAAAACACAAAACATTAGTACATGACAGATTCAAGTTAACACATAAATGAATTAGAATAATGATAACAACATTCAATAACTACTGAATAAGCAACATTGGAGTTACTTCCAGGCAATCTTGGAGGTTTCAGTCGTGATTGATTTGGTGACATCTGTTGTTACTGCTGGTAACAATCAGTAAAACAAACTGTTGTGGTTTGAATGAAAACATCAAACCCAGTTTTTTCCCTCCATCATTCTGTGATCTAATTTCATGCTGCACACAGTCTGTTAAGAGCAGGGCACACTGCTCCTTGTTCCATTACTCAGTGCAACATTTCAAACTGATGTGCTGTCAAAAATGCCTAAATTGACCTTTACTTTGTCTTGTAGACACATTTTTCATAAATGACAGAGGGAAACACATTGCATTCGCTTTGACTGCTTCATAATCAAAGTCAGCTCCTGTTATGCCTGTTAAATGACTTTAATGTAGCTGCAGCAGAAGGAAATGTTCAGTTTTATCTCAGAATCAATTAACTGGAGTCTGACTGTAATTTCGCGTTGATCGGAATTTGTAGTTCATTTGGAGTAACTTAAAACAGCATCGTGTCTCCTCAGACACCCAGTTCATAAAGCTGCAAATTCCTCAGGCTTAAGTACTGTCTGTTTTTATCGTCAATGAATCTGTTAATTATCTTCTTGTGTAATTGACTAATTGTTTTGTCTATGAAATGACAGAAAATGGTGAACATGTCAGTCAGTGTATCCCAAAGTCTAAGATGACAAATGTCTTGTTTTGTTCACAACCCAGAGATATTCAGTTCACTGTCAAAGAGGAAGAAAGAAAGCAGAAAATATTCACATTTACGACGCTTGAAGTAGAGAAGTCAGACTCTTTTCCAAGTAGTTGCAACTTAATGTAATAGTTGATAACTAACTACCTAACTGATTATTTGTCGGTAGTCTGAAGAAAATTCCACTTATGTAGGCCGTTATTTTATTCTGTTTGTCTAAAAATAGTTTTAAGCGCCACCAGGTGTTTATTAATGATGCCAAGTGTGCATTGAAAAGATGACAAGTCTCTCCTGTGTTTGTAGATCCATTGAAGTGAAAAGTGCCATGAATCCCTTGTTTTCACGTAAGTCAAATTTGAACTGCACTTTTTACACGAAGGTTAAAAAAAAGTTTACATTTTTATGCTTTGCCACATAAAGCAGCACATTTTCTGGTGTTTCTGACCAACTACAGTGTTAAAAACAAACTGTTCCCTGACAGATCATATGCTGCTTATTACAACTTTTTTAACAAGCATATTTGTGAAGTGACAATTTGTAATTTTATGATGATTGTGCATGTGGCACAGCAAATGTATG